TAATGGAAAATATTGAATAGACCATAAAAATAGAAAAGAAAAATATAATTTAAAATCACATTAAAATATAAATTATGTATCACGTGCATTCGCACGTGCTCTTTACTAGTGTAAAACAAAAGCCCCAATCCAAGAAAAAACACCAGAAAAGATTCAACCACGATTGCTGATCCTAATGCTGCACCAAAACAACAGATAAACACAATATATATATGTGTATATATATATATATGGGATCATCAAGTCTTACTATGAGCTGCCAGTGAACTCATCGGCCTGTGTTTGACGATATTTACACTGGACTCAGCAAACAGAGATACCGACATCATCTCAGCACAGTCTGGGTAGCATCCATGGTTTCCTAAATCATTCACTGACAGGGTCAGGACCGCACCGTGTTCACCTTCCTGGGTAAAAAGAATACTAACAATGCGTTTTATTACATCGATTGACAAATAAAATATACAAGTAAGAAATATGCCTGTTATAGACTCACATGATATGATAATTGCCTCAGGATATTGTTGCTTTCATCAATCGGGCCTCGAAACCGAATACCTTTTGCTTTCACCAAAAAGTGCCTTGAGATGGTGACAAATGTCAGCAATGGTTGCCACTGATAACCGGTCTTCGTTTTAACCTCGGTCGACCCAATTAGCTCTGCAGGAAGGCTTGTGGACAATAGCCCGGCACTCACCTCCATCGACACCATGATTGAAAACCGAGACCTATTGCCTGAAACTTGAGAGTAACGTTTTCAAACACTTTTTGAACTCGTAATCATTACTATAATAACTATTAGCTTTGCATATTATGTTGATCTTTCTACTATTACCAGGAAAATTCTCAACATCTGGATCGACAATGAAGTCGAATTTTCCACCTTGTTGACCAAAAACGAGCACGCCATCACTCAAATCATCCATGACAATAAACGAGGGAATATTTATGAAAGGAGGGTCGTTAATTGGCTGCACGTAGATAGGCACGTCCAAGTCGTTCCTCCCGTTCTTGTTCATGGTCGAAACTCGAATCGTGTCGGGTCCACAGAAATTCGCATTTCTATCACGAGGGCCAACAGGCCACATACTAAAGTTAGCCAAAAAAACATGCAATAAAGTAAAATGAAGGCCCGGTTATCTTACCCCAAGTATTGGATCGACTGAAGGGCAGAGTTGATGGCATCGATAAAGCCTACCAAAGTTAGTTCATTAGGCATTTGGGACCCTCTGTTAACGGAAAGTTCATTCAACCTCGGCTGCCAAAATTGCATTTGTGAGGGAAATAACAAAATATTCCCAGATTTCGAGCTAAGTGTAACACTGATGTTCTCGGATGAATCTGAATATGTAATCTCAAATCTGGAGAAACCGCTGCATTAAACAAGAAAACACGTACATTATTCTGTAGTAAAAAGATAACAGGAATGATTACATAAATCACCTGAGTTTCCCAAGTAAAATGAAACCCCGGTTATCTTTCAAACTTACAAATACCACCGCAAGAGTTTGTAAAATAGCAACTGATTACCCAAATCTGGGACTGATTTCATCCTCAGTGGCTAGCAAATTACTAGGAAAGGAAGCAAACTGAGGAGGCCTGCAGAGGATAAGTAAATCCACAGCACCCGAAGCAAGGTTCCCATTGATGTCGGTTATCGTGTAAGAAAAAGTATCATTTCCGTAAAGCCCTCTGTATGGCGTGTACCTAAAGAAGGCTCCGCTCTGCAGAATCGAGCCATGGCCTGGCTGCAAAAGATATTTACCCACTGAATAGTGCAAACTGAATAGCTACCTATAGGAAAACAAAATTTCAATTTTATCAGTTCTTTTCTATTCAAATTACCTTAGTATACTTGAGAATACTCGCATTCCCACCAGCAAAATAATCATTTTCTAGGACGTTAAAAGCAACCGACTCATCCTCCCACACCGGAATCGTATCATTGTAGGCTTTAGGAAAATATTCACCTGCGAAAACAAATCATTTACTCACAAAACGAACGAAGAAATAGAAAAATTCAAGCAAAAAAGAGTTTCTAAATGCACCTACCGTAAGACCGCCCAATGGTGAGTCCTAATTTTCAAAACAAAAAGTCCCGGTTTTAGGGTGGTAGAAAGTCATAGTGTTTGAAACAGAAAAGTTCTTGCATGAATGCAAATATCTCCTTCGGAAACTAAAACGCTGTTGATAATTTAGTAAATCTGATAACTCGGGACTTACTATGGTAAACATTCACGCCAAATGGACAGGGTGCGAAGCGTTGTACATTGTAAGAAGCACATATTTCGTACGTGCCAATATCATGTACGAGGTATTTTGCACGATATGATCCATCGTTGTTGTCCGTAAAATTCCATACCCGAGAAGCTGATTTGTTGATTGAAGCCATCTCTAATTTCAACTTTGATTCTTGTTGTAACACAGGGTTATGAAAAGAATCAACAAGTCGAACAATTATCTCATTCTTAATCAGCTTTGGGACTTTCTCAGCAAATTTCACGACTCCCGAGAGCGATACATTGACATTTCCTGCAGCCAGTAAGACGGTCCAGTTAGAAGTGAGTCAAGTAACACGTACATTGTTTTTAGGAAAAAAGAAATTAAAAATAACAAAGATATTTCATGTGCATCAAAGCTTGATATGGTGCTAAAATATAGTTTTGGTCCTGCATTTTTCCATTTTTCTTAAGAAGTTCAAGTAACTCTATAGTCGTCAAGATAAACGATTCTTTCTATAAATAGTTTGTAATATGGGATGAGTTTTAAAAGCTACCTGGAGACACTTTATTTCTAAATGGATTACCACCGTTCAACGGAATATTCCCACAAAAAACACGTATCTCATCATATCCGCTTTTCTCTGGAATATAGTAAACATCAAAGTCGCTAGCCTTGTGACTCGAATTCCCTGTAAACTGTAGCCAAAGCTAGCTTTACTTAACATCCTGTCATCTGTATCATAAGATACCGGCCGAAATAATGTAGGAAAATGCACTTACATTGTTCATTGGGTCAATAACCGGAGCAGAAGCAATTTGCATCGGGTTAATTACTCCACCATTCAATCTTCCAGAGTAAAAGCTATCTGGCCAAGAGTATATGGGCCTCAAAAGTTAGTTAGCAAAAGTATCCTTGAAGTTTAGTCTAATTGCAAACAACTCCAGCTATCTTTCCAAGAACACAAACACCACCCTTAATATTTGCATTTACTCACTCAAAAGGCAGTGGTTTTTAAGAAAAGGAAAACTTGAAGGGGCAGTTATGAAGTTTAACCTTGTAATAAGAAGCGAAAAACATCTGCTTATATATATATTTAAAAAAATAAGAAAAAAAAAAAACAACTTCATTTGTACCATTATTAGTCTCCCTTATGTGTACACTTGAATGTATAAGCTGAGAATCAGATTCCCGAAGAATTCGAACTTGAAGGCTTTCTAACTCAACCGGTGAAGGATATAAATAAGCATCCTTCAAGAAAACCGAGAATTTCGCAATCTCCCCAGCTACCGAATTATTCAGACCCGAACCATTGACTATACTCTTCACTCCATCACAATAACCTGAGTCCAACCAACAACCATCCACTAAAATCAACTTAATATAACATGGGAACTCATTGTATTAACCTCAAATGCGTAAAGTAATTACAAACGATACAATGCAGACCTATGTAAACAGTAAATTCGTATGGCGTATTGGAAACGAGCGTGTTCTTTTCTTTATCAGATATGACAAGTGTGAATTTTCCAGGCTCGTGCAGGCTGAAGGTAAACGATTGGATCCCAGGGCTTATATCTTTCAATATTAAATCGGCTACTGGCATCGACAAGTTAGTTCCAAACTCAATAACTTCAATGTCAAATGCGTAAAGCTGTGGGACTAGGTTTCCATATTGGTCGTGCTGGTGTATCGAGCCTTCCATCTTCGAAAATAATTGGAAATACTTTGTTTCTATATTTAGACGAGCGATACAGCTGTGCACATCCAGACTTCCTGTTAAAGAAACATTTATAAAATATAGAAATTGATAGTAAATGATATTAAAGTTTCTATTCAAAAATTTTAATGCAATGTACTAGTACTTGAACAAGAAAGTTCCAATTCCAATAATTATATGAACGTAAATCACCTGGAATAACCGAGAACGGCAAAGGCGAGTCGTGGAGAGTTTGATTCTCAATCTCCACATGAAGAAACAAACTTCCAGCCGTGATTGTAATAAACTCGATACTTATATAGCCTTGTTGATTCCAACCTTTGTGGGCTATATCAAGCAAATTTTCTGACGAGCCGTTTGGGGTCAAAGCAAACAGCGTGAAATTATGATGAAATGCAGATCCTTGGCCGTCTAACGAAACGTTATTTCCGAACGCATCTTTCGGAAGGATCAATATTTCAGCCCTTGTTCCGGCTACAAACTCGTCTACTCCATCGGCCCACGATAATATTCCTGCTGCCGGGTACATTAGGCCTACCACAATATTATATACATTGTAATGAATTAAATCAAATCAATACAAATTCGAGTAATTTAGACAAGACAAAGATGAAGTTGAACCTGGTTCGACTTGGAACTGCAATGAAGCGTCCATAACACGAAAATGTACATCCTCGATAAGCACGTGAAATAAGCCGACCATGATGGGGGTAAATAAAATGCTCCAGTTTTGAGTGCCGCCATTAAAATTCAAAATCAACCCGGTAATAAAACTGCTATTTCCAGTCCTGTCATTGACCGTGATGTTGGGGTTAAAAGGGGAATCGTATTTTCCGGTGTCGTAATTCCCGAGAACTGTGACTTTGATCGTGGCTATGTCACCCGCCGCGAAACTATCTTTCTCGTCAAGCCAACCGAATGCAAATGCAGGTATCGGTGCGCTTTCTGCAACAAATATTCGACGCGTAAAAAATACTTTGAAACAGGAAGACGTTCGAACGGGAAAATGTCGACATTTTACCTTGTTTTGCAGGCTGAGGAAAAAACAGGAAGAACAGTGTTACGAGGGGAAGGAGTAGAAGTACTTGGGACGCCATTGTTGAGATTGTGATGTTTTTTTTTTTTTTTTTTTTT